AACAATCTGTTCTCCTTAGCAGCTGCCTTCCCTGGGATGCCTGCCTGCCATGGGCTGGCTGCGGCCAGAGGCTGCAGGAGGAGGAGAGGGACCAGGGATGTCCTTGTCTTTGTCCCCAACTCCCTGGGGCCACAGCAGGACAGCGGCTGCTTGACACCTTGCTCTGCCCACTGGTCCCTGTGCTGCCCCCAAAATCACCTGTGGCTCCCCAAAAACGTCCTGGTGCAAGCAGGGCTGCTGTGCTCAGGGCACCCTGCTCCCGTGGGGCAGGACACCGCGGTCCTCACCCCTCACCTGGCTGGGGTGCGGAAAGGGGCAGCCCAGCGGGGACAGTGAACCCGATCGGAAGTTCATCCAATTAAAACAAACCCAGGGAATTAATTGCTGAGCTGTCTGTGTGTGGGGATCTCTGAGGCTGAGCAGCTTTCCCCAGTGAGAGGCAGATTTAACGAGACCTTGTCAACCTCCCTTATCCACTGCTAATTGCCCTGCCCGCTTGGCACAGTGGCACGCAGACCTTGGCCAGTGGCAACCGATGGGCTGTCAGCAGCGCCGGGTCCATTCTCACCCAAGCCGTGAGGCCACTGTCATCGCTCACTGGTCCTTCTCCCCACCCAGGAGCAGCACCCAGTGCCCAGACAGGGGCTATGGGGAGGTGGCTGGTACCTGCAGGATGCCGAGGGATCCCTGGCGACCCAACGTGCCCAGGATGAGGCCCCAGCAGCGGGCACCGGCAGCGGCGCAGATGGCGTCTTGCCGAGCGCGGCGCATGCGCTCGTGGCTGTAGTGTTCCTGGGAGAAGACCTTGCTGTAGGGATCGTACCTGCAAAGTACAGCAAAGCTCACACACACCCCACCAACCTGTCCACATCCCATCACCCTGCCCCTCAAATCATACCCCTCCCTCGTTAGCACTAATTGTGTCCCACAGCATCTCTCACCCCGAGCTGATGCAGGGCCCAGCTGGCTCGTTACAGCACAGAGAGGGGACAAGGACGGGGACAAGGCAGGTGTCCCACCACAGCCCCCCAACACCTGGCACAGCCTGGGCTGTGTGCTCAGCTCTGCACTTAGTTTTCCCCCCTATCCCAGCTCATCAATTATGAAGAAATCTTTGATTTGTTGCTTTGTTTGACGAGGAGAATTTTAATCAAATCCCACTCGGGTTTCGGCAGCTTCCCCAGCGCCATAAACCTGACGTGCGCCTCCCGTTAGTAACAAACGACCTACTAAGAAATTCAGATTTTGCCAAATGGGCCCAGCCTTTCACTCTTGATATTTCATCTGCTTTCAGCGGCCTCATCATCACGCTTTATGGCCTCTGCCTGCAGCAGCCGAGCTTTAATGGCTGCACCTCCACGAGCTTTCACAGGTACTTGTCAAAATGTTTATATTCAGCTGGAGTAAATGGCTGCCGTTCATCTCCCCCCTGCCCTCCTCACTCGCCCGTGGCCCCTCGTCTGCCTGTGCCCGCTGCAGGCAGCTGTCTGCCCAGCCTGGGCAGGGGGTGGGGGGTGCTCCTGGGGTGCATGGTGGGGACAGCTGGTCCTTGGTGGGCTGGGGTAGCCCCAACCATGGGGCTGTTGGGGACCAGAGTGGGTGCCTGTACCTGTAGGCAGGTATCCCCGGGTTGGCGATCATGATGGATTCCAGGTGGAAGCGCCCGTCGCCCAAATACCTGTGGAGAGGGGAGGGAAAGCTGTGGCACGTGGGAAACGGAGGTGCCCATCCATGTGCCCACTGGTTTCCCAACTCGTGGTGTGTGGAGATGCCAAGAGCTCGAGCTCCTGTGCTGGGACCTGGGGGCAGTGGGCACAGCTGGGGGTCCCTGTCCCTGCACAGTCCCTCGGCACGCCAGGGTGAGAAAGGCGGCCGTGGTCAGGGTGAGGAGATGCCCACGCCAGCGTGGGGCAGCCGGGAGCTGCTCCATCTCAA